ATTTTAATCGCAACATATTATTATATCCAAAGGTACGCCTCCATGATCTGTTTACCTCTATTTGAAAATTCATATTATAAAACCATAAGTTGTTCCACGCTTGTGCTGAGAATGCAGTCGATGATGTTTACTAATTAAATCGTTATCGATTCTACGAAACAGTAATCAGTTGCGAATTTTACACAGAATAAATCATTCTGATTACGAAAAACAATATAATTGATCAAAATTCCGATTTGGCACCTACGAATCAGATTACAGTTATGATTATACGTGAATGGCCTTTGGGACGAAAACGTGACATGAGCTGTAATTTACACGTGAATTGTCTCTTGTTTTCTTGTTTGGTTTAATTGAATATATATATATATATATGCTAGCTGCCGTGTAGTTACAAGAAATCATGAATGGCTGCAGCCTGTCTCTCTTACGTGGATAAAAATTTCACTGTGGTCGTCATCTTTCCAAATACGGCAGTTGATAATGCACTACGTTTGTCTTGAAGTAGTCGCCACTCTAAAACAAGACTGCTCTATCATTAGCCCAACTATTACGTGAAGTTTAAATGTAATTTAAATGCTTATGACGTTTTAAACATTAAATAACGAGTTTGATCGCAAACAGCCATTGTGTTTCCCGCGCCGCATCGATGCATTAAATGTGATAAGCCACTTGCACATTGTTTTTACCTAGACTTAACACAATTCTCATGTTCTAAAAAACTCAAGTTAATTGTTTGCTCTTTTATGTATGTATCCGTGGATATTGACATCGGAAGAGTGATTATTGGAATTCTGATCTAGATTATGATGTATCTAATCGGCTTTGTTATAGTTCCTTTTAACATCACAGTCATGTACAGTCAGCCAAAGAATTGCTAATCTAAATGATTAGTTTAAAAAAAGTATAGTTTATATGAATAATTATAAGTGGTTGTAAGTTTCCTGCAATCAGATTCTACAAAGTTGGATAAATATAGCGTGAGAATTGAGTTCCGTATTGATAATACCAATTGAATATCAATTCAATAAAAATTTAATTAATACTTAATATAGTTCCAAAAAATCAGTTATTTTCACTTCCTACGTGTAGCAATCGCGAAAACCTAAGAACTTAATAAATATTGAGATTTTTTTGAAATAACTCCACTAGTTTTGTTATGTTTATTAATATAAAAATCGAACACACAGTAAAAATTCTACGACCCGGTGAGACTTGAACCCACGACCATGCTGCACCGTTGCATTGCTCTTACCAACTGGGCCACAGGTCAGATTACCGAGCTGTCGAAATTCTCCAGTGTTTTTGTTATAGATATTTGTATTGGCTTTCTCTCTAGTGACATATAGTGAGAGTCGAAAAACCTTACCGTAGCCGGTATCTTTACAAATGCCTCAACTGACGTAGATGTCGCTTTTTGTATTTTATACTTGATTATAGGTAGAAAAGTTTTAAGTTTATATGTAATTTAACCGTAGACATATTGAGAACATCCTCACCATCATCTGGTTAAGATATGTACGCCGAAGTCTACCTTTTCCCACGCTACCATTCATATTTGCTCTATAAATTTGTGCCGTTATTCTACTAACACTCGTACTTTCCGGTCAAACCATCGAAGCGTACCTTTTCTTTCCTAAGGAAATTTCACACCACAACGCTCTTTTATTACACGGTTTCAAGAAAGATAAGAAACAAAGAAAGAAGACAATACACAATCAAAATTAAGTTAGCAAACGTCGGACATAATTTTCTGGGGTATAATAAATTAACTTACTGTGCAGGGTGTTAACTTAATTGCGTTACTCTCGAAATGGGGGTGATTATAATAATAATAATAACGTACACACTCAACATAGCCCCTCACTAGGGAAACCCTGTGTCGCGGGTGCCATGGACTCACACATAGACAACCACATATTACACCCAAACTCACGAGATAAATAAATGTAGGCCATACAAATATTTCTCCCGGCACGGGAATCGAACCTGGGACCCCTGCGTGGCAGTCCAACATGGTAACCGTTCGGCCACGGAGGCAGTTAATTCAGACAGATTCCACCCATTGACACAAACAATTTTTACCATGGCCACCTCCTTGAAATCTTGAAAAGTGTAATCTTTATTTGTCATGTCGTCAACTTTATATTGCTGTTGGAAATTTCCATTTGCGAGAAACTAATTTTTTAAGGCTGTTATAAGTCCTTGGTGTAACAAAGCAACGTGGGGTCATTACGCAAGACGTTTTATATTTTTTACATATTTACATCGGAAAACCAACGATGTCGCTGCATTTATACAAATAACTGATGTATTTGATAATATATAACTGCCTCTGTGGCCAAACGGTTACCATGCTAGACGCAGAGGCCCCGGGTTCTAATATTAGTATAGCCTACATTTATTTCTTCCGTGAGTTCTTCTGTACACGCGAGGACCTGTACAACGCCACTGGTAATGCTGTCTCAGTCGCTAAGTGCTGGTCCTCATAAATATAAAAGTCAAGGTCGACACGCTAAGAAGAAGAAGAACGAAATCAATGACAGTACCATAAACATCCAGACCCGAGACAATATAGAAAAGTTAGTTTTTACATTGACCCGGCCAGGAATCGAACCTGGAACATTAGAGATGGTGAAACCATGAAAACTGGTGTGCCGGCCACTCGACCAAGAACGTCGTCACAATGATAATTATAATAACGCACTCACTCAACATGCCCCGCACTAGGGAAACTCTGTGTCGCGGGTGCCATGTACACACACATAGACAAGCACAAATTACACCCAAACTCACGAGAGAAATAAATATAGACCATACAAGTATTTCTCCCGGCCCGGGAATCGAACTTGGCACTTCTGCATGGCAGTCCGGCATGATAATCGTTCGGCCTAATAATAAATATATATTGTAATTTTTACAAAAGTCATTAGATTCAATTTTCAGCAGTTACTATCCTACTGCAGAGTAAAAGCCTCTATTCCCTTCCTCCACCCAGGATTTCATGACCTCGTCAAATCATCTCCTTCTGAGCTTTCCACGTCTTCGTCTTGCGTTTTGTGGGATCCATACCGTAGTGATCTTTACCCACAGATCGCTTGACATGAGGCAGACGTGTCCAGCCAGTGCCATTTCAAACTGACGGATTTTGGGTCTCATTTAACTATACACCTCTTAGGAATTGAAACTTCGGATCTAAATCGAGTGTAGTATTTCCTCTGATGAAAAATCCCAAGCAGACACAAGACTGACTACAATTAGTACTGAGTAATTATTATGTTTTTAATTGATTATAATTACCATTATTAATGATAAAAAATTAAATTTATGAAAAATTTGTGATTGTTAAAATAAAATAAATTTGTAAAACAAGAATATAGCGTAAATTGGAATGTATCTTTGAAAAATTTTAATAAGGTATTTAATTATTAACAGTAGTGAAAAATATAGTGGTTTGCATTAATATTAGACATAACTGGTTAATGACTTTACACGTAAACTTTTACGCAAAGGGCTAAAACGTTGTATTGTTTGAAAAAACAAATATACGCGATTTACATCCGAAAATAATTGTTTCATTTTCTATGTATAACAATCCTAAAAACTTAAGAACTCGTTTCGTAGCTTTTCGTAACTCGTGCAGTCTTATCGCAAAAGTCCTCTATTTGCTAAATTACTAAATTATATAAACGACATTCGTTCATTTACCATCTCACCAACATATAGATACAACAACATTTTTTCTAATATTGATCTTTTTGACACCATTATTAGTAAATTAAAAAAACTGTACATGGCATTTAATATGTACTATCGTTTGATAAACTCCGTCTTGTAAAATCCTAGTGACATATAAAACAAGAATGTTATCATTACTAATAATTCCACAAAATAACGTGTTATAGAAGTCTTACCAATTATAATTTTTATTAAACTGCTAGCACTAGTTAGTTAGCCGCTAGTTACTGCGTTTCGGTTTAGAAGGTGTTGGTGAAATTACAGGCACATGGGACTTGTCAACTTAAGTCTCAGGGTGACGGCGACAGTGGCAGTGCCCATAAGATCTTTGCGATTTAAAGCTCTGAATGTCACTGCAACTGTTATGGATAGGCGTGTCGCTTACCACCAGGCACACGACTTCTTCTTCCCGTCACTTAGTATCACAAAAAAGGTAATAATTTAATAATGTTTCATGTATGACTGTTCATCGCCACAATTAACAAAAAAGAAACTCGTCGATATTCACCTCTTCTTTTGCACTCATGATTCCGAGCTATCTTGTATCGTTGCAATCGTTTACGCTGTACTGGTTTGCCCAAAGATTTTTTACCCGATACTAATAGCTACACTGAACTCAAACTCCATTCGAAGTTAAATTATGCTGTCGTTGTTTTGGTCACAAATTTATAGCCTTACGACATAATACTTTAAAGAACTCCTAAGTAATTTATTACTTTGGCTCAGCGTTTGTCAAGTTTCTACTGCATGTTATTTAAGCTCGAAACAGCTGAACTCTGTACATTGGTGCGTTAAAAACGTAATTTGCTTTATAAAATAAAATAAAAAATCATTTATATCGAGTTACCACGACCTATAACACACAAGCATATTTTTATTTTTTTATTAGACAACATCACATACGTTACTCTGATCCCAAAGGAAGTAGCTACAGCACTTGTGTCGTGGAATTGGAAACAACGACGGTACCACAAACACCCAGACCCGAATCAATATAGAAAAGTTAGTTTTCTACATTCACCTGGCCAGGGATCGAACCCGGGACCTCAGAGATGGCGAAACCATGAAAACCGGAGGTCGTCGAAATTCATTCATTTATTCATTCATTCGTCATTGATTTACTTTATTGAACCAATTTATAAATATCAATTAAAATAATAAATAAAGTATTATAAATTGCGATTAAAATAAAATCAATAATAATAAAATTATAAGTCAGAATAAAAAAATAAAAGCCATTATCATTTTCCTTCTCTTTCCAGACCATACCCACAGAAGAAAGCCTGAAACGTGGTTTGAGCAATAAATGCGCTGCGCGGGAAACGTCCTCATGTATCGCCATCGAGCTGGTGGGCTACGTGGACAGGATGCTGAGAACCGCCTCCTTCCAGCTCAGCGACGACGTAATGGTGGTTGATGAAAGGTAGGACGATATATTTTAAACAATTTTATGGTACACAACAATGGGCGGGTACTGAAAGTAAAGAAGTCATGGACATCTAAAGACATTTGCAGCACCACAGGAGTTGCACTTCGTTAAAATAGTCCCACACTTGTCATATACATGGCATACAATAAACTGTTGTGGCCCAGAATACAGCCACGCTGACCGCGTCGCTAGTAGCGCCCTTAAATCCTTAAGTATTCGGTATCTTACCGATTCAGAATCCGCTATAAAATAAAATATTATGGCAACACAGCTTTATCAACCGAAATAAATATGTCACGGAGACGTTTATCACACATTGCATGTGATATACCTACCGCTATGCTCGGCCATTTCACGTCGAAGAAAGTCCACCAAGAATGTGAAGTCTAAGACCATGGCCTAAACCATTCCTTGATTATATGGGTTGATGATCATACAAAATGTTATTATACATATATTCCGTAATTTCTATCTTTCCGTATTATTCTTTTGTTTTTTAATTTCAATATTCATGCATTTTCAATCTCCTTACACGAGTCATAAAAAGAAAGAGGTTTAGTGGAAATTCCTCAAACATAACTCCAATAATACATTCCAGACATTGTTTACGGAACTTTGCGTTTTATATATAACGCTCCAGTTGTTATATCTTAACTGTATATGATACGTTGAACACCACTTGTGCACTGAAGTATTGCTTATTGGAAATGTACAGCGTTAGCAGATTTATTAAAAAATATACCGCAAAGTAACGTTTGATCGTTACGATTGAATAGCAAATGTTTAACAGGCGTTTTGTGAAAACTGTAATACAGCAGTTGTTTTATATTGAAATATACCGAACTTAAAATTGACGTTATAAGCACAAAAGTGGTGTAACCCCATGAAATCCATTATACGAGGTTTAAAATTTGCCAATTTTGTTTCATATATCATTTCAACCCATTTGTACGTCTTACTTAATTTTACTTAAGACCTTTGTAATTACTGTATTCTGGCAAATAAACGTATTCTATTCTATTCTACTGGGCATGCGTCTCCCCTCAGGCGAATGCCATAGTCCGCCACACTAGTTCAATGCGGGTTAGGGACTTCACACGTTTTGCAAGGGTTGTGATCCTTCTTCAACGTGCAGGTTTCATCACGATGTTTTTCCTCACCAAAAAGCGCATGGTAAATTTCAAAGTAAATTTTGCACATATATTCTGAGAAACTCAAATGTGCGAGCCCAATTTCGAACGCACGGTATCTGCTTGAGAGGCGGTGGGTCAAACCATAAGGCTCAATTTATATTGCGATTGAACGGAATGGAAGCGAATTTGTTTAACGATATTGTTCACAGCATAATGAACTTTATGATCAATTGTGTTACGTACATGTTTGGTTCGCTCCCATTCCGCTCGGCCGCAATATAAATTGAGCCCAAAGCTACTGCGAACGCTTAATGATATGACTATTTTTTATACATATCACCTAAATCATTCTCCTTATTTATCATTAAAATCATTATAGAGTAAATTGTATAACAATTAGAATGAGATTGTTATAGGACTGACAATATATTCCATGGAACTAAAGTTCTAAAATTAAATAAGGATTTAAAAAAAATTTGCATTGAAATACCATCCAAAAATAATAATAATTATGCACTTCGGTTATTTAAAATAATATTGTACAAAAATTTCCTTCATTGATTTATTTTATTTTCTTAATATGAATTTTATTTACTAGACCATAGTTAAAATATGATCACCGTGGCAAAGTGCCCAAGATGCTGGCAGCGTTCCCCCTTTGCATAGCTATGATAATGGTTAATTTGTCAATACAAGGAATATACACTTATATTAGAATAGACTAGGTAAAGGTAAGGTATTTATAATATAAATAAAATATAGTTGATTGAGTTACAAGACTTGTAGAGGATGTGGGTTATACTTTTCTGTATCTAATGGAGCAATAAACATTTCTAATGTAACTCTACTTATGCCATTCTTCCTTGAGATATATTTACACTCATATTTGTAAAGTTTATATATATGTATATATATATATATATAACAACAAGGCAGCTGCCCAAAAAAATTGAATGTGAGTTACACAACTTTTGCGCTGACAGCCTTAATTATGTTTTGTCGAGAAAACATTCATATTTTATTTTTATTGAATATCAAGATGTTTTTCTAGAATGATATTTACGAGTATCTATTTTTTGTGAAAATACTCCACTAGTTTCTTATGAATATAGATATAAAGATCGAAAAAGAAATTCCTTCAATCCAAGTGGAGTCGAACCAGCACATGTTGCCTCTACTTGGTTATTATTGGCGCTTATATTTTAGGTTATTTTTATCAATTAATACATAAGATATACCTGTTATACATCATCATCATCAACAGTCCTATCGTAGTCCACTATTGGACATAGGCCTCTCCCAATGGGCGCCATTTCGCCCGGTCCTCAGCTCGTTGCATCCATCTGCTGCCAGTAGCCCTTCGCAAATCGCCACTCCATCTGGCTAGAGGGCGTCCCGCACTACATTTGCCGAGCCGTGGTCTCCACTCAAGAACGCACTTCCCTCGTCGGTTATCTTACACTTCAGCTTGCTTATTCTACCAGCTACGTCGACGACCTTAGTTCTGTGTTGGATAACCTCGTTCCGTACCTTGACCTTCAAAGAAACTGCAAGCGTAGCCCGTTCCATCCATCCATAGCTCGCTGAGCGACTTTTGACTGGTGGACTAACCGTATCGTGAGTATCCACGTCTCGGCTCCTTATGTCATAACATATGTCGTGACAGGTCGGAACACCTTTGTTTTCAAACTTTGCGGCATGGGTGACGAAAAGACTCAACGTAGTTTGCCAAACGCTGCCCAGCCAAGCTGAATCCTCCTATTGGCTACCCTCTCGAAGTTGTTTCTACCCAATTGCAAAATCTGCTCAATGTAAATGTATTCGGAAACAACTTCAAAAAGGTGGCTATTTACTACGATTGGTCTTGGGACAATATCATCATTGATCATGACTCTCGTTTTATTTAAGTACATGCCGAGCAAAGTCCGTTCCGAGTCGGATGCTAGGTTGTCCAGCATTTGTTGTAGCACCTCCTCCGACTCTGCCATTAGGACTATGTCATCTGCGAATAGCTGTACACCTGTTATTTCTCTGTTCTATGTGTATTATATATGATCGGGTAAATTACATCCCGCCGTGTAACAACTTAGCAAATTATTTAGGTATTATCCTTAATGCATGAAGTCGTAATCACCTTCATGCTGCCGAAACCTCGCAACTGTTAGGATGCTAACAATCAATCAGTTAGCAGCCTAACAGTTGTATTGCCACTCAGAGCTTTAATTCGCAAATATCTGAGTGGCATTGCCACTGCGCCCGTCACCCGGAGGCGTACGTTGACAAGTCCCATGTGCCTGTAATTTAACCAGCACCTTCACTCTTCTCGGTTGCTACTTGGTCCAACCGGGAATCAAAACCGTCTCCTCATCCAGCGCCCACAATGCAAACCGTTGGGCCACCGAGATCGTCATATAAAATAGTTATATAACATAAAGCTACGAATCCACGTGGCCTCGCCTAGTAGGATTATCTTCTTAAGAATTTTGGCCAAACCATTTCTTTCACAAGCTTCCTTATTTGTGTTTTGTGCTGCGATTAAGGACTTTTCTTTCTAACTGCATTCATTAGTTTCTTGCTTTTGTCATGTTCTTATCTTTCTTTTCTATGTGAACGAGCAAGACGTAAACAAAGCTGAGAAGAGATATTGTATAATAAATGGAATACACATTTTGAACTCTGCCACGATATGTCCATTAATTTTTCTGTCTCGCAGTTACCACGGGCGTATTCTTTTACTTTTAGAATGTGTAATATGTTGCTTTGTACGTATGTACATTCATGTGATTTTTAGTATAGTTTACGATATTTATTTCTCAAAAAAAATACAAACTCACCTTAGCGAGAACTACAAGATGTTATTAAACGTCTACAGTTGACATAATATTTATTATAAAGGTATACAAATAAAATTTGGTGTTCTACTCCAATAAGAAAAAACAGGGCCCTTATCAAGTATTGCATATAAATGGCCATGGTAGTTAATAACAATGACGAATTTAATAAAAAATGAATTAGACAATTCTTTTTAACGTACGCGCAGCATCTGTTAAACAAATCAAAAACCTTAAGAGCAGAAACTTTGTTAGTTATTGCACGCACGCCATATAAACGAAATCCGTTTGTAATTTTGTAGAGCTGGTAAATGAATTAGTGACTCCATACATAAATGCTTAGCAAGGACCCTTAAGTGAGTCTCAGAAGAAACAGAAGCTTGGGGCAGTCGACGATATTGCTGGTAATTTTAATGAGATAGTTTATGTCTGCTATGTCACGTCCAGTGGCGGATTTGCCCTAAGGCCCAGTTGGCCCGGGCCTAGGGCGGCCAGATTTTCGGGGCGGCCAATCGTGATAAAAAATTCACTGATGATAACAAAAAATAACTCAACGTACTTAAATATTCTAAAGGCTCACGCACATTGTGGTGGGCCGCACTGCGCCACTTCGTATAAAAATAACCTTCCTAAATCACTTTCATACATTTTGTGTATAAAATATACATATGTTACATACCTATAATGTAACGTGTAATTACTACGTCTGTCTACCTGTCTGATCGCGATAAACTCAAAAATTACTGAACGGCTGCTGGTGCTGACTACATAGCCTGGGGCCAAGGGCGGCCAAAATTGCAAATCCGCCATTGGTCACGTTCACCAAGTTATAAAGACATACTTCCTCTTGGATAAATATAAATAACTTTAACAAAGTTTCTGCTCTTTACGTTTTTGATTTGTTTAACACAAGCTGCGCGTACGATAACAATAATTATCTAATTCATTTTTTATTAAATTTGTATTGAATTGATATTACATTAGTTTCTCATAATTATTAATACAAAGATCGAATACTTAGAAAAAAATTCCTTCGATCCGGCCGGATTCGAACCGGCGTCTGCTAGCAAACCGTGCCAGACGCTATGCCAGTTGGCATAGTTTGGTATTGCCAACTAAGCCACAGAACGAACCAGCGGACCTCACGAATTTTTCTATGTGCTTGTTTGTCGGATCTTTGTATTTGTATCATTTTTTATTAATAAAGTAAGCTATATTGTGTAATGTTACTGTGTTTCTATAATGTGTCAGTCGTGTGTGTGTGTGTACAATGTCATTTAGTTGTTTAGTGTTGTCAATGCTATATTTTGCTATTGTATTTATATCAGTGGGGAACTTTGGATTTTACTAAGGGTTCTTGCTTATACAATTATTTAATATAGTTTCTATTACATTGTAATACAAGCTGTTTGTACCCTCAAAAATAAAATAAGTAAATAAATTCTCAATGTTTGTGTAATGGGTATCCTTCTTATAGTACCGATAGCACACACTATAATGCATGTCATTGTGATGAAAGGACTTGCCAATAGGCATAAGGTACTTGCCGATCGTGACCAAGGCGCGTTAAACGTAGGTACAAATAGAAAAGGCATGGTATATTGCGTGGAAAGGCTCCGTTCTTGCACCCCAAATGGTGTAAAGGATAAAAAAAAATAGAAGCTCGGCAAAATGTACTAATATCATAAATACCTATTATAACCCATAAGGCGGATTCATGTAACATCGTGCCGGGCCAGGCCGTGCTCCGGTCATGTGCCGACACGGTCGATCTATAAATGCTTTTGTATGAACTTCATGTTAGTGTCGAGTATATTTTCCCAGTTGCAACCCGCCCCAATCGCGACACGTCATAACATGAATGCACTCGCCGGGCACGTTCCACGTTGGACTATAGGGTACTGGAAAGCGCAAGCGCAAAATGAACGACGAAAAGTTTAAAATGTGTACGTATGTTATGACTCATCCGAAGCATTTCGATAAAAAACACACAAAAATTTGATTTGGAAAAAAATACCAGGCCGACCGGCGTACGGTGGAAACGACACGGCACGGTGACGGCCCGAACCTGGCACAGTGTAACGTGGCTCAATGAATGACTGACCCGGCTGGCGCACGGTGGATACGACACGCCATTGTGACGGCCCAAACCCGGCACAGTGTAACATGACTCAGAGAATGACTGACCCGGCCGGCGCACAGTGGAAACGACACGTAATTCTGATGGCCCGGACCCGGCACAGTGTAACATGACTCAGTGAATGACTGAACCGGCCTGCGCACGGTGGAAACGACACGCCACTATGACGGCCCGAGCCCGGCACGGTGTGACGTGACGCAACCTTTATGACATCAGTCACTTTTAACGTTGATTATACTTCACTTTGTCCTAGAACGCTTCATTTAACATAATATTGTTTTGTAATGATGCCTCTAGAATGGGAAATAGATCTGTCGTTTAATTAGACTACCATAAATAACACCACACAAGAAAAAAAATATTAAAAACATAATCAAAAACATTTACATATAAATTACGGAACTGGCAACCGGAAGGAGGTTTTAAAAAAGGCAATTTGTGTCCTTTTATAACATTTAATTAATGGAAGTATTACATAAGTTAGCCTTAAAACTAATTATGCTAATTGACAGGTTCACTTCAGCGATTCAGCAAGAGTGCTCTCTAAAACGTTACATGGGTTAACCTTAATTTCGACACTGCACTTTTGGGAATTTTACTAATGTTTCACTGGTTTTTTACAATCACTGTTGGTATGCGATATCATTGTGAAGGGTTAGCACAGGTAACATGTAACACAATAATAAACAATTACAAAACAAAATCACAAACCAAACAAAGAGCAAAATAAATTTAAACACCGATTATTTACGTAAACATAAACAACCTGAATTAGAAACATTACTGACGGTGTTAGATTTTAAATAGAGAAAGTTTTGATACGTCTACAGCTTTTATAGAAAAAAAAAATATTCGTCGTCGCAAGCAAACTGTGAACTGTCGAGAATTCTTGAAATTTCTGTGAGCAAAAATACTTTACGCGATACCAAGAATTTATTTCTAAAAGTAAGTAATACTGCATTCAAAAACTTTTAAAAAGTTGCTTACCTCATTTGTGAATCGAACTGACCAAATGTGAAAAAAAAGTCCTATTTTTAACCACAAAGGTTATTTATATATTTATTATTCATTTGCATGTTTTTAATTATTGTATTTCATGTCAAATAAAATCATTTTGTTTTTTCAAAGGTACTTATATCTCATAAATTATACTATAGGTATTTTTTTAACATTAAGCACTTTTATGATATTGAAGCGGCAGGATGAGCAAATGGTGCGCTTGGTAGTAAGCGACACGCCTATGTAAGACAGTTGCAGAGCCACTCAGAGTTTCCAATCGTAAAAATCTGAGGGGTACTACCACTGCGCCCGTCACCCTGAGACATAACTTGACAAATCCCATGTACCTATAATTTCACCAGCCCCTTACTCTTCAAACCCGGATGCTCACGTTTCAACTTGACGGATAGGTAACGTGACAGTACTTCCTTGAACAAACACTTTCAAAAGGATCTCTACCTGCTGTGACTAAAATACAATAGATACGATTCCATTTTCCTCGGAATTTTAGTAATGGAAATACTTTTAAACCTTCATTTGTTCTAGTATTTTCTCAATTACGAATGAAGATGATTGAGCAATTAAGCAATATTTACAGTACTATTAAGTACTGAATTTAATTATAGGCAGAGTAAAGAAACCGTTTTTAAATTGTTTCTCGTCTGGATGATCTGTAGTGCCTCTGAAGTTTGATTATGACCGATATCTCCCAAAGCAGAGCGAAGAGAAGCTATGTTTTATCATCTTGTAGATATTGCTTTGGTCAATAAATAACCTTACATTCATATGAACGTAGAATCCGATATAAATAATAATATAGTAATCATAAATCATTTATTTCGACCAATATGGATTATACATTACAAAAATTTAATAGAATGAAACTCAAAAATAGAGTACCAAATTAAAATCAAAATTTAAAGTAAATAATAATAAAATTACATGTAACCATGGTCCATGTCTTGTATGTACTTTTGCTGACCGGCACCCTACGCATCAGTGATGTGCACCGCTTGCGCATGATTGCATGGAAGCAATCTATGCGCGCTTTAGCAAACATCCCCGATGCGATGCAGAACCGAGTGAGAGAGCGAAATGTCTGTCAGATTGCAGCTTAATATTTTATTCTTCTATTTGCAGCAATGGCGTAGCAGCAGAGATGCCGATCAGGTCTGAGTCCTTGGCTAGGGCTGGTACGTCCCTGGAAGACCAGGCTCAGCAAGTGATCGTGGACAAGCTGTTCAACTTTGCCACGACCAGATCGCTCCGGTACAGACTTTTGGACAACGCTGACCTTGTCATCAGTGGGAAACAGGAAAAGGATGGAAGTCTGGGTATTGGTGAGTTTTCCTGACGTTTTATCAGTTTTTCGTGTACAGTGCCTCTACCACAAGATTATAGTGAGAAGTCTGTAGCGATCACGTAAATTATTTCATTATTTTACTTGGCAAATTATACAGCGCCTCTTGAGGGCAAAAGAAGAAACAACATTTTGTATACAAATATTTTACGCGGTCGCTAACGAGAAATGTCATTCTAATCTCATGATAGAGGCTCAGTACCTCTACTACGAGTTTACTGTGATTGCGGTCACAAGAAAAAACAACGTTTGTATACTAATATTTTACAGGATCGCAAGCGAGAATTGTCACTGTAATCTCTTGGTAGAGGCTCACGTCACTTTGATCGTATAATGAAATACTTTTCGAAATATATTATCATTTATGTTTGCTAAGAGTAAATTCAGAAGTTCACTTAAAAAGCGGCCGACGTCTTTAAGGGTAGGATAAACAGGCATCTTCTGGGCAAGGTACCGACCATAGGCGACCTCATCTTGAGTTAATAGTTCTTATTGTGGTGAAGTGCGAACCCATATTTTATATAAAAAAATAATCATTGATTTATCCAATTTGGTTGCATCTTGTAGTTCTGAAATTTTTCAGGAACAAATAATTGAATAAGAATTACTCGAAAATTACTCGCCTAATTCAAAACTTTTTCCAGACCGTATATTGTTTGAATTTTGTAATATTCAAATGTCACGAGGGGCTAAACCACAAAAACTCCTTGTAATTCACTAACTGTAGTTGGGATAACGATCTTGGAATAGCCTTCCAATAATGAAATCCAAACACAGGACGCAGGACGACGGTTGAAAGAGGGTATTCAAGTTCAACTTGCGTCAGAATAGTTAAGATATACCATGAAATATGTAGCATTAATAAAAAAAATCTAGTTGAAATCTCACACGAGTCCTACTAAAAAAATGTAACCACGTCGTTAGTAAAAATAATAAAATGAGATTGTTTTCTAAAGCATAGTTCTTCTTTGCTCCGCCTTGGTGGATAACGGGCCTTCGGATTCCGCAATTACTTTCATTTGTCGATTAATGACATCATTTATTATTAATGTTCTATTTATTCAGGTTAAACAGAAAGTTACATTCATTTTATAAAATCAATCGTTCAAATACAAGCAATTGCAAATTTGATTCAATACATTAAATGTTGGCAAGTCTTAACACAAGTATTATTATTGTTATTAAAAGTAATTAGCAGTGATCGATTACGTAGCTTAGTATAGACATACCCATGTCGTCATCAATGCGTGTAAAGTTACGTTTTTTTACAGTTTATGTTCTAAACAGTCTAAAATATAGGTTATCTTCCGTTTATACCATATACCATAGAAACTCAACTACATTATTAATTTTGATTGAGATAATAATTTGTAGTAAATACTTAATAGGAAATTATAATTTGTTGCCAATGTGCTTAAATAATATGCATAATTAATATCATCAGTTCCGAGAAGTCCCGGAATTTGTAGAAGGGAATGTTTAGGTACAAATTTTACACCGTTTAAAGGTACAATATATAATTTATGAAAAAGATTTTGATAAATCGCGGAAAATTATAAGAAGATAGACATAGATAGTATTCTACGACATGCGAGAATATGCTAGTACAGCAAAAAAGCTAGTTATCGTACTTTCCTTTTTATGTTTTGGTTAATGAATGTAATATTTATTTGCATGACACACTAGCAGTGGGGTCTAGCATTGATTGAATTATTCGGCTTTACAATCAAGGTTTTATATCTTTGTGGAGTTTAATAAAGATTAAATAGGAATTAATAATGATTCCATTAATTTACCACCGAGCGATTCTGTTTACTTTTATGTAATGTAAATGTTTGTTTGAATAGAATAAAATTCATATATAACAACGCAACAACACAAAAATATATAGGAAGAAATAAAGAAAAGACAAAGCAAAAGTAAAACAAAAAATAAAAATGACGAAGGAAACATACACACATCAAAAAAAGTTTGCGATCACTTCGAAAAACTGAAATCTTTTTTGTTACTGTAGATTATATTATGATTTTTTCTTCTTTTTAGATTCTTTATTTAAAAATAAATTAGAACATAAAACAATGACCCCGTTCAATTGTTTTTTCATATAAAAAGGCTTTCAGTCCTAGCTTACGCTCATTCAGAAATCTGATTTAGTCAATTATAAGCGATTCAAGATATTTTTCGCGGAAAGTTGTGATTGAAAAAATGCCAAGAGGATTATCAGAGGTTTTACGAGCTAGAATAGTAACTTTGAGGGAAGAAGGATACACCACGAGAGTAATAGCACGCAGGCTTGCTATATCCCAATCCTGTGTCGTGGCTACGTTGCAGAGGTATCACGGAATGGGGAATTTAGCTGACCGACCCAGCAGCGGTCGCCCAACTGTTTTGACAGCTGTCCAAAAGCGCTATATTAGATTGCTGGCAGCCCGTGATCCAACAATCAACGCCACTAAAATAAAAGCAGAAGTCAGGGCCGCCTCTGGGCTTGAAGTTTGCACGCAGACCGTTCGCAATAATTAATAATAAAATTTTAATAATAAATTGTTGTTTAAGTTTAATTAAACAGTCTTTTTCTTTCTATGAAATTTCTATCACTATTACATTATGATTATTGGCTCAATTTTTTAAAATAAATAATAAAAAATAGTTTTATATTTTAATTTCAAACAGGGTATTCCTATTTAAAGAAAGCATACAACATAGATTTTTTCTTGATAAAGTTAAATTTAAAGAATTATAGGAGCTTATGCTATTGATCGCAAACTTTTTTTGATGTGTGTAATCCAATTTTAAACAGTCAATTCAATTTTAATGAACGTCATGTGTGCGGCTGTGGCGTATGTAAAAGGATCCACTTAGCTAATGTCACAGCTGAGTAAAGATTGTGGTGCTGATTTGCAGTGGGTGCTAAAACTGAGTGAGTGGTATGACACTGCTAATCCCCCTAGAACCACCACTGCGTACAAATCCTTACTAATAGATGATTATCAATAATTTGTTGAACTAGGGTCTTAAACACTTAAGCCAGTAAAATCACCCCTTTATCTTAGATGAACTGGAAACAGATTGCAAAATTACAAGTCCCTAGTTTGAGACCAGATGAATAGTGTGGTTGTTTAGCTTTGAGGTTGTTTGTATAAATAAATAATTTATAAATAAATAATTTTGACTTTTTTATTTTTTTAAACCGACCTCAAACGTTTGTTTATCGGGGTTTTTTTTGGAGTTTCACCTATTTGCCAAGTTTTATTGACATCGGTTAAAAGAAAGCGAAACTAGATTCATCCACTAGTTTGCTACCCTTAGAGGTGGAATATTTTCTTGAAATTTAAATGGGACCACTGCTGAGGTATCTATTCTCTTTTCAACAAAGTAGAGCAGTAGCAGTAGAGCTCCTTGTGAAAGAGTTCGTCCAGAGTAGTCTTACCGTAAGGTGGTTATTTCTGTCGCCAAGCAGTAATGTTAGCAGTACTGTGTTCCGGTTTTGAAGGGTAAGAGCGCTGGTGAAATTACAGGCACATGGGACTACTCGACTTATGTCTGAGGGAGACGGGCGCAGAGGCAGTGCCCCTCAGATCTTTGCAATTTAAAGTTCTGAATGGCACTGCAAGTGTTATGGACAGGCGTATAGCTTACCATTAGGCGGGCGTACGACTTGTTCGTTCCGTCACTCAATATTATTTAAAAAAAATCGGTTCACAAATGCTGGAGTAATCGCGTAACATACACAAAAAAATACATTCGAATTGGGAACCTCCTCCTTTTTTGAAGTCGGTTAAAAAAACAAAGTCAAAAGAGAATCGATCCACTTTGCTATCACAGACCACAATGCTATACTGATATCACTAGAGAGACAGTGTTTACACCTAGTCGACTCGGTCAATTTCGGCAGCGAGGTACGGACCTTAAACGACTCAGTACATTGGGTAGATTGCCGCATTCGGCGGATAAACGAAGGCGACTTGTCGACCTAATGAAAATACGCCATAATAGCTCTATGAATTAGCTAGTAGACTATGGATTACATATTCTTCGCTGACATTCTGTCCTGCCATAGTCCGTAATGATTAAGCGCACACTTACGGCGTAAGTCAGCATAAAAATTAGTAATGTAATGTCTTTGTAATGTAAAAAGTAATGTAATGTAATGCCTTTAGTAATTTTTATTAGATAGTTTAGTTGTTCGAAATGTCTGGTTACTCACCAAAGAACCTACAAAAAATGCTAATGAAAAGACTTCGTTATATCAGCGTCACCCTTTTAGGGCTTAAAAATTATATTATCATTATAACAAAAAAAGAACGTTAAATTTTACCAATTTTTGTTGTTCTACTGGGTAATTCAGTGTTGGTCCACTACCTGGACACGTAAGAAATATTAATTATCATTATTGTACGAGACAGAAGTTAGAAAGATAACACGGAAGTCTTTAAAATTAATGTGCTAGACTTTACATGCAGAATGAATGACAATTTTGTGAAAAACATTTTGTCTTTTCTTTCCATTGTTACGCAGACTTTTTAATCCTTGTATCCTGGATGGATAATAATAAATCTTCAATAGTTTCCCGTGACCATTTGTCATCACGAAGTCATTTTTCTAACTTTTCTATTTTCAGGAGTATCCCTGAAGGCCCCTAAAGCCGTCGAGACCGGTAGGGGTCGCCAGAAGAACATTGGACCACTTCTAGCTGCCGCAGCTATGAAGTTCGGTCTTCTCGGAGCCCTTACATTCAAGGGCTTAACCCTGATGGTTGGGAAGGCCCTTCTGATCTCGAAGATTGCTCTTCTTCTGGCTACGATCATCGGATTGAAGAAGCTGTTCCACCATCAGGTGAACGATTAGTTTTGTATGAGCATCTTTGGTTTTTGGGATTTTTTAATATTAATGTACTAATTCGCTAATCTTTCTTATACGTTACTTTTATACTTTTTTTATTTACATTACCAATAAATCTGCAGGGTAGATACACAGAACAGTATTATATAAACCATATAAACTAGTTATTCCAAATACTGCCAACTCATTGCGGTTAAATATTTAGAAGAAAGAAAAGTGTGTTTGTGTAAGTGTAACGTGGTGTCGCAGCGTGAGTCAGCGAATTGTCTGTGTCTGTTTAATTTATGTGTCAATGTGTGTTAGTTACCCGGCAGGTAAAATCGAAGGCAAAATTCATTGTATTTATTTATATTATGTCCTTTGATACTTACAAGACTAAAGACGGTTTTCTATGGTCCGTGAATACAATGCAATAAACTCGCGCCAACTCGGGCGGCACCCTTCCACGGCCGTAGGAATCCAGCATGAGAAGAGACAACTAATAGAGTTGTCAGACCTGTAGTGCTTGAATTCAGTTAGTTACTGACATTTTTGTAGAGGCGTCTATTTCGTAAGCATATTTCTTAAGAATCATGCGCTCCTTCGCGAAAGCAGCTCAAGCAAATCTTGGTATACACCACCATCATTAGAGCCTATACACACGACGTATTTTTTACGCGTCTACGACGCTACGCTTTAACGCAGTTCAATTTAGATTCTACGCCCGGTAAACGCGCGTAGGCAATACAGACGACTGTGGGTGGCGAAGTGGCGCAGTGGCGTGACCACGCGCCCCTTCCACGCCCCTTTTCTCAGCTTTGCAACGCGATGTTATTGTTGTTGAATCGAATACAAACAAACGAACTTTATACACGCGTATAAATCAATACAAGTACTTTTTGAGGCTCATCAGTATTGTGAAACACGCTTCGTGTGCGCGTAAAAAATATGCCTTGTGCATGGGCTCTTAGTTTCGTTAACTTTCATGTCTCGTGGAAATATATTCAATCGAAGCGCGAAGCGAGTATGAATTCTGGCAGTGAACGGCCAGTGGTTATATATATAGAATATTCTAGTGAAATAAATACTCGCTCTCCGAATGCTCGCTAGCCAAACTAAGCTCTCACTGAGTACCGTGCTTACATAGTGTAGTGCGTGTTAACATAGTGTCTATATAGTCCGATTTTGATTAGCGATAGCGAATTGACGGCCCTAATCACACAATGAAAAATGATGTGTTTAGTTTAATTGCCAATTTAGTTCAATACAATCAGTCAATAAGAAATACTAATCAATCAAGTACGAAAAATTCATATGCAACGTGTGACAAATGTCTTTACAAGTCCCATAGACAGTCAGGCGCGACAATGGTACCCGTAAAGGGTTCGAAGCGTTGGTTGTTTTAAAAAACAAATATACGCGTTTTGGATCTGAAAAAAATATTCGCTAAACTATTGTTTAGCGAACAATTGAAATGGAATATTTTTCATTTATATTTTACATACATACTTCTGTCATTTTTCTGTTATCAAATTCTTGATTTGTAAACATGTAATTTACCTTGGTCATTTTACTGAGTGAGTCATGAATCGACCGTTTAAGACAACACTATTTTTGTTTCATCAAAAACTGGCAACACACGTAATGTAATGGTTAAGGCATGTTTATCGATCTTGTTGATGAATGTATATTTTTGTAGAATTTTCTGGACTAAAATAAACAAATAACATTTATTTATACGACCATAATAATATTATATTACCTTGCTTTTAATAATATTATATTATATTACCTGTTTTGCCTATTTATAGTACTTTACTCCCAAAATGGCACAAAAGACGAACGTACCTATATTGAAGCATCAACACCAGATTTTCCATAGAAACTCGAGTGAAAAATGAAAATAAAATAGATAAATAAATAAATATTAGACAATATCACATACGTTGCTCGGATCCCAAAAGTAAATAACCAAAGCACTTGTATTATAGAAATCGGAAATAACGACGGTACCACAAACACGAAGACCCGAGACAATATAGAAAAGTTAGTCTCGTACGTTGACCCGGCAGGGGATCGAACCTGGGACCTCAGAGATGGCGACATTATGAAAACCGATGTGATTGTATTGTTAATAGTGAACAATTATGACAGGTTAAACATAATTAATAGTAACACAGGTAAATTACCGTGTAGTCTAAAGTGAAAACTTAAAAAAATACATAGAAGGTGAAAACCATTGTGTCACTTTTCCCATCTTGCTATCCTATGGAAATGATGTTCCCGCAAATTACAGACCATTACAATAGGTACAAAATGCTGTAATTTGACTTGCTTGAAACAATGTGAACATTGTTAGTATCTTCAGTAATTGGTTTGTACAATAATTTGTGTTGTGACAATGCACAATAAACGGAAAATATAGTTTGAATAATAGAACTATAAATATTATAAAAAATAGTAATTTGTTTGACAGGTATAATATCTGTATGAGAAATACAGGACCTTAATGGTTAAAGGCAAATATTGCTTGAGTGTCCTAAAATCACGCAATAGTAAAAGACGTTACGGGCGTCTTCAAATTAGACGTTTGTAGAAGAGCTGCAGCGGCGCGGCAGCCGCTTGTCTGGTAGCTCTTCAACAATTTTTAGTTTACTAAATTGAGACTGCAAAAGTGGGCACGTCTGTCACGACAGTGGTGCTGCAACTGCGTTTCTAAATATTGTATGAAAATTAGTAGTGACACTGCTGCAGCGCTTCTGTAAGCGTCTAATTTGAAGGCGGTTTACCACCGGCGAGGCAAGACCAGACGAGAATTAAAATCTCGATGGCCTATTTCCACTAAAAATTGCCATTAGCTCTCGTAAGCGCGCACTGTGTGGAGCTCGTTGTGAAAGAGTTCGTCCAGGGAAGTACTACCACCAAGCAGTAATGTTAGCTACATGGTATTTACCAACTCATGTCTCAAGGTGACGGGCGCAGTGGCAGTGCCCCTCAGATCTTGGCAATTTAAAGCTCTGAGTGGCACTGCAACTATTATGGACAGACGTGTAGCTTACCATCAAGCGTAGGACTAGTTCGTCCCGCCACTTGATGTTATAAAAAAAACTGTGACTACTAGACAATTCAGCGTTGTTTAGTTAGCGATAAACATGCGACTGAAGTAACATGTCCCGTAAATTATTATTATGAAATAATGTTAACGGAAGATGAATCCGAAGAAGTCATCTTTTTTTACATCACAAATCGTACCCCACAATTGATATGAGTAGCCATCGCGAGCTCGCGCGAGTATACTCTATGTAGGCAGCAATACGGATCAACATTACAACAACAAATGTTTTAATTCTTGCCTCTCCCATCCTCGTCAATCCAGACCATGTCCACCGAAGATGCGCTAGGAGAGAATTAAAGTTTTGCCATACAAATTACAATCCCCGGTCTCGCCTCACTGGTGCAAAAGCACCTTAAGTCTTACTGTCGTTTGTTTTTAATTTAATATATTTTATTTGAGTTTAAGATTGATCTTAAATGGCCAATTAAGAGTATCATTCTTTTTAAAACGTTCTGTTGTTATAATACTATTTAGCACTTTAGGTTCCTTATATACAAACTTAACTCAATTTCAATAAACCTTTTCTGAATAAGTACCTAAGACTCCTTTGATAAAAAATGTTTTTTTTTTCAATTCAAGTATTCTCAATACCTTAGTCAGCTTAAATAAGAGAATTTGTTTCAAATAGGTAGAATTAATCGACATTATTGGACTGGACTCAGTCTGAAAATGTACTTCTAATATTTTTTTGTATATTAAATTGCGCTCAAAATCTGTAGTAGTAGATATTGTTTTGAATTCAGTATCGAATACATTGATACGCCTACCTAATTTCTAGAAAATATAATTCACAGTTATTCGATTTACATGGTTTTACCTTCTGGACTATTCCGGATGTCGAAAAAACTTTTTTTTTTTGTGGAGACGCCTTGTGAAATAATTTAGGCTATCCACAAACGTAGGCATTCACTCTTTGAAATGCTAAGCCATTTCCTTTATCCCACTAATGTATTATTGAAGCGGTTCCTTCTTGTCTTCTGTTAAAATTCTATATATTTCGATCGAGAAGTATTCAAGCATTGAAAAGTTGTTTATTTTTTCTTATATTTTGTAGTTACAAAATGTGCTTAGAATGTTAGTTATAGACTGTTAAATTTTTTCAGATTACTTTCGTACTTTGTGCATTGCCATTGTAACTATAATATAAATTGTTTTTGAAACAAAGCTTGAGGATTATCAAGACATTGAAGATTGTCTTATCTGTTTCGAGTTTAAGAATTTTTTTATAAAGAAAAAATTTTTTTTAAAGCTCATTAGGTATCTGTCCGATTCCTCGCTCTCTAAAATATTTATATCTGACAAACTGTTCTCTATCATATGACAGAATAACGAAATTAAACGGCAGTACTAAGGCTCTATGGTTGAAATCAATTGCTCCAATATAAGGATTACAAATGTAAGTATAAAATATGAACAATTCGTAGGTAGTTTTGCGTTGTACAAACTGCTAGTTGTTGTTAACGGCGCGTAGACGAGTAGATTGTGTATCTTGTGTGTAGGTTTGATGACGTCATATTTATTATAAATTGACGTGGACTAGTACAGTCACATGATTTAATATATTGTACAGTACTATTTTTTGGAGATCAAGCTTCGGAGACTTTTGTATATTACGGAAACTGACTATGGCATTGGTAAACTAGTTTTTTATTGTATGTATTATTAAGTATTATTATTTTCTCGCTCATCACACAGGGTTGATGTCACATAGTGTTATGAAGTGATTCAAATCCAGACAATATTATTCCTATAATCACGAACAACCAGTGTCGAACATTGTGAATGAAAATATTGAATTAAAATTTAGCGCTACATATTCCATATGGCCATAAGGCATCTAAAAATTACTATTTTCATACAAAATTGAATATTGGGCATTTGGGCGTTTTTTGCGCTTTTAGCGCTCAATTATAAAAGAAAATTCCCTTGCAAAATGTGTGAAATATTCAACCCCCAATGAGGCAGTATAATCTCGGGTATAAAGACGATCAAGCTTTATTAGACTTGCCTGTTTCTGTAAAACTGAAATTACTCCAAATCTTTAACTTTGAAGACTTTGGAAAATAGTGCTGTCATGCAGACAAGAAGATCAATTAACACAAAGTAGAACTTTTATTTTTAATTAAATTTTTGCCATTTATTTTGAATTTTTCCGTTTATCTTATTTATATTTCCCAATATGGATGTTGACGTGGATTATGACCGCAAAGGATACTGATTGTTTAATTCGAATTTGAATTTCGTTCGTGTATATCTATTAATGAACGTGACTGTACTTGTTGTATACATTTGCTTTGATGACGATATAGTAATTTATTAGTTTATTTAACCACATTTTTACTGTAGATAATCACATTTTCGTAATATGCTCTTCCACCGTAAGAAATGCATAGATCGTGAATACAAGGTGATTTTTTTTATTCCACAATATTTTAGCAGATAATTGTACCTAGTAATATGAAATTTTACTATATGGAGCGTCCCATAGAGGACATATGCTAACCTACCAGAGGTCCCTATGGTAAAATTTTCCGGATTGACTTGTAACGATTCGTGAATATGGTATGGTGTTACAGTTTTCCGCAACTCGATATCTTTGCGTCAATTTTATGTGCGTTACGTGTGAGTTTGAAGTAAACATCGCACTTTTAACTATAAAGTGGCTTAATTAGAAAAACAGTTTTTAGGAAATTGACAAACAACATTATAAAAATAAATTATGTACCTGTCCCGAGCAATTTATCACAACAAAACAATTTTACATGAAAATCGATTTTGTATCCTTGGTATAATGAAGCCACATGTGATCATGCGCCAAAAGTGCTTTTATTGCATAAAATTAATCATTAAAATAACAAACTGCATGAAATGAATTTGTTTATGTCAAACTTTTTAATTCTCCTATTGAAATTTTGGTGAAATTACAGGCACTGGGATCAGTCAACTTATGTCTCAGAGTGACGAGTGAAGTGGCTGTGCCCCTCAGATTTTTGCGATTTAAAGCCCTGAGTGGCAACTGTTATGGACAGTTCGTTCCATCAATTGCTTTTTTATAACAAAAATTAAGTATAAAAAAGATATGGACACCAAATTTCTTCGTACAATTTTTAAACCAATGTCCTGAAATGTTGTAATTTGGCAGATGTATCTTTATTACGCCAAGTGTGACTTTAAAAAAAATATTTATCAGGGTCACAAAAATAATGTTAATTTTCGAATTAAGCCACTTTATTTATTTAGTGTGTGAAATGTGACACCAGTATTTCTGCACTCCTTTAATTTAAATTGTACAGTAGTAGACACCAGTAGTTTAGACGCTCAGGCCCTCAAAAATTGTTCCAGAGTATAGGCTATAGTATTATACACTGTATAGGGGAAAATTATTTTCAACTTAAATCATTAGGTAGTTAGTGGCTGTAATTTGGAACATTTGTTGGAAGGATATAAACGAGGCACAGAGCACCGCACGACGACTATTTAGCTAGATAAAGTAAAAGTAGTTAAATCTATTTAGTGCTTGTACATTGCCAGCATATATTTTTGCACTAGGAAAACAATGTGATAGAAATGAACAGTATGTTTTTTTAAGGTGATCGTGTAGCTTGTTTCCTTATTTCTCAACCTACCAAGGAATGATTGCTGCAACTATTTTAAGTAACTAATTTAATGATAAAAATGGAAGTAAATTAATTTGCTATTCCGCGAACCCAGTGGAGTGGAGTGGAGTGGAAAATTTTTTCATACAGCATGAAAAAATATTCAACACAAGCGTAGCTATTTTGCACGATTTAACCTCCACTGGGTACGCTGAATGGCAAATTAATTTATTTCCATTTTTATTTTCATGCAGTTCCGCAAAGTAACGCCTTATTTAGTTAATTAATCTATCCGTTGAGTTTGATATCATGTTGTGATCAATCCCATCAAGTACGTTGTTAGGCTGACTTCATGAAAATTAATGTTATATTGATTTAATTGTATATCTTTTATGGTTTTACTACCATGATGTATTTTTTTTGTGAAAGTACTCCATTAGTTTTTAATTATTTTTAATATTATTGACACATAGATCGAACAAACACAAAGAAAAATTCGTTCGATCTGATTGGGCTTGAACCAGCGTCTGCCGTGCGCCCAACCGTGGCTACTTTCATAAGCTTCCTACAGGTGGTGCTACGGTAAAAAAGCTGTTTAAATACAAAGAGATCAACAACAAATAGTGCAACAAGCACACAGAGAAATTTTTAAAATCTACTGATTCGGTGCGCGAGCAGCAGCCACGGTGAGGCAACAGACGCTTGTTTGAATCCAATCAGATCGAAGGAATTTTTCTTTGTGTTTGTACGACCTTTGTATCAATAATAATAAGGTCAATGTTTTTCAGTTTAGTTTGTAACTTAGTCAAAGTTGTCGTTCATTAAATTTTTCTTGTCTCTTATATTCATGCGATTTTGAATTGGAAATACCGTAAGAGCGATGCCACACGATGCGTTGCGTCGCCGTCGTCGGGACGCCTGCGCCGTGACGCAGCGTTGTGGTTACTACATTTAAATAAGAACTACATGCCACATAGTGTGTTGAATCGGCGCGCGGGTACAGAACGAGTGCGCATCGAACAAGGGGCCAGGAAACGAAGTGGGGAGGGGTGCTGTGGTGCGTAAGCAAGTGGCGGTGCGTTACGTTGCGACACCACATTGCTCATGTGGCATTGGGTGCGTTGAAATCATTGTGCCCGTGTGGTATCGCTCTAAATATCATTCTTTTGATAACTATACCCTTAAAGTATCCACTGTTGGTTATAGGTAAACCTTGAAAACACTGTTTTTAAAGTTACCCTATGAAACTTTTATAAAAAAGATTAAACGTACGAATGCTTTTCAGACTATCATCAAAAAGCAGTAGATCGTAGCTACATCTGAAACGTGAAGAATCCAAGGAGCATTGGCGATAACGGAATGATATAAATGACGACTGACTCGTCTACCGTCATACTGCACTGCGACAGAACATTCTAGAACATTCCAGAAAGATTCGAGAATATTAACCAATCGACTTTCACGTTCGAACAATCGATTTGAAAACCGCGCGAAAAAAATAACCCCTTGAACCATTATTCGAAAATTGTGATTTGAATAATTAGTAATAACATTTTGAATGATTTGATTCATCGCAGTAAGTATGGCCGTAGAATAATCTACAATTAAATCTTAAAAGTTGGCATTAAGATTAAATAGCAAACTTAATGTATGGAATATTGAAAATTAAAAAAAAAGGTTTAAGGCCATGAATGAAAGAATCATATTACTGTCAACTTATTAAAATTCCCAAAGAATATTTAGGAACACAATGTGCAATGTAAATAACACATTATTTATTTATGTTTTGCTAGTTATACTTACGTACTAACTTGTACAGTTAAATGTTGTTACGCATTTAGACAAAATAACTAGATAGCATTTGCCTTACATTAATTTATTTATTTATTTTAAAATATAATTATATATTGTTGATTAAACAGATTGATCACTAACATTATTGTTTATTTTGTTTACCTTGTATTTTGTTCATAATTCCCAATATAGTCAGGTGGGGTAAAAGGACGTACATTATTTGGAGTCAAATGTTTTGACCTCTAAAACGAAGAGATAAAGTCTTACAAGAGCTTTGAAGTACCCTTAAGTAACTTGACTTTGTTTATCAGCTTTACATGTTTTAACAATCATTACGCTAAATTTTATACTACGATGTATATGGCAAAAACGTGCTAATTTTGCTAAAGTTTCTCTTCTCCCAAAAAATGGCATTAGAGGAATCGTGTTTCTTGCTTCTTGTAAGGTAGATAATAATATTCATCGTGTTCTCAAGATTTCACAACTGTCAAAATTATTTTTTCCGCCCTTTGGTTTTGGAGCATCGTAGCGACATCTCTTTAAAATGGTTTAAACTAATTTGTTTCTCTGTTTTATCGACTGAGACTAAAGTCTTAAGATTACGAGGTAAGGCTTCAAGTCCCTCTTACCTGGTGTTCCTCTTACCCCACTTGAACCTAACTAATGGCGTTTTTAACATTTTCACTAATGGGTTTATTTTAATAGAGTAATAATTATTGATGATATTAATTAATTATTGAGATTTTTTGTGAAATGTATATGTCAGTAAACGATGCTATGAGCATTAGAGCAATGAAATTCATTCTGTAACACTCCGAGTAATAATATAATATAATACGAAAAATATAATTCAAATTGAAATTCATTTCAACATATCGACGACAACATACGAAAAAGTGTAATAAGATACGTGTAGATATGAGTAATCATCGAGTATATAACCAGAAATAGAGACGAAATGTTATTTAATTTGTTTGAAACATTGACTTACAAATAAATGGACGACGGGTCTAATACAAAAACCACGAAAAAAATGTCCCAAGTCAACCTATTCGAAATTTAAATTGTTATGTCATCGCAGTATCGCGCTGTCCGTAGAACAAATGAAGACTAAAGCGGAGTGTCGCGCTCTGTATACGATTTTAGCGCCTTACAAGTGCGGACACTTTTTAGCGCGGACCCGACGTCCATATAATTGTAAGTCAATGGTTTGAAAACTATTCTGCCATGTCATTACTGTGACAACTGCGCTCCGATTGGCCAGCCCGAGTTCGAAACAATTGATGGGTGTCGTCAATTGTTATAATTCAAATCGACCAGTTAATTTGAGCTTTGCTATAATGGACGAAAATTGCAAAATTACATATTTAAAATTTAATTACCGATGAAATTTGATTCCGTTTGTTTTGTAATTAGATGTTTTGCTGTTTTTCCTTACACCACCGAATGGAACAGCATGCCATTGTTAGAGATATTATGTTTATTACAATAAATACAGAATATATTTGGAATAAACGGAGACGTACACACAGGTCAGTTGTTGGCGTTGTCTATATTTCAATGCAAACGAGAGTTGATTTTTATAAATGATGTATCACTGATGAGTTACCAAGAATGTATGACCCTTATTTCGTCTCTATGTCTGGTTATACACTCGATGCGAGTAATACATGTTTATTCGGCAGTGCAATCGATATCAAGTTGAAATTTGTCTACATTTATCTTAAAATGGACGACGAATTGCAATGTTTTAATTTTTATTGCATAGTAATTACGAATTATAAGAAAACAAAGTTGAAATATTAAGTACGTAGGCAGAGTACGGTAAATAAAAGACGTCTGTTGCTGCTCATGTTTAATCAAGGAACGCGACATTTTTAAAAATAGCTCTTACATCACGACAACACTTTAAATGTACAACAATATTTAAGTACACTACTTACTCTTCGCGAAGTCATGTGATATACCTAATTTTGCAAAAACCTAATTCAATTAATTAGAAAATAATAAAATCGTTCAAAGATGGCGAGCTATTTAGAAGGGAAATTTCCATCGACTCGAAAGCTTGAGTCGATGGAAATTTCCGCCTTCGAATGCTTTGTTTGCCTAGGTCAAATAATCTTTACTTTACTACTAAAATCAATGTATATATTAAAATAAATACATTATATAGTATAATGTATGTAATATAAAACCGTAGTAAGAAATACTACGAAAATTACGTATATTTTTTTTCGCCGCCTATTTTTCTTCAACGAACTAACCTGACCTAAGGGATCACAACACTTATCGACACAAAAACGGCTCATCCGGCTAGAAATAAACTTTATATCCCTATAATGTTTCGGGCCGTCGAAACGTATGACGTCATTTTCGCTCTTATATACATTGGTATAAAGTTGACCGGCTCTATCTAATTTAATCCATAAGTGTTGAGACTCCTTAACAAGACAAATCACAAAGTAAGTACTTGGTTCATTTTTTTCATTAACCGTTTATTGAACATACAAGTAACCACTACTAACTAGATGACTTCGTTGCCCTAGCGGTTAGCAATATGGGTGTATTAAATACCGAATTCGATTCATGGAAGGAACTATTTAGTAAATGAACTTATCTACATTAGTTTTGGTCTTTGTGTTCTGCCTAGTCCTTCGATGTTAATTTATTTGTCAATAATTATTAATACGAAGATCGAAAATACATAGAAAAAATTCTTCGTCTGACAAGAATCGACCCCGCGTCTGTGTCATACCAGGGTGACCGTTCTACCAATTGGGCTAGTTCTCGAGTGTTATGAATCTTTCTATGCGTCTGTTACAGATCTTTTGTCTTTGGTTCTTCTTCTTAGCGTGTCGACTTTGACGTTTATATTTGTGAGGACCAGCGACTGATACAGCATTATCAGTGGCGTTGTACAACACCTCGCTGTGCACGTTTAAAGGCACGCAGGACAAGACAAAAGATGTGCCATAGTCTGGGGAGAGACAACACAAATACATGCGCTCTCAGGGGTTATAGCCCACCTGTGCATGCTCTCCTTGCTTCGGCCGACTTGAGTCCGCAGTCTATTTAAAGACTTCCAAGTGTGCCAGTAGATTATGCCCAGGAGGGAGGTGCTCCGACAGCGGAATGACTGATGCCGTGGCGTATCTCTCCTTCCAGAGATTTATACGGACTTGATTAGTTTCCCCGTCCAGAGGGACATCTTTAATGAAGCTATGTCGACTCTTTAGCCTCTGGATTACCGGCACATGATAATGTAAGGGGTGCCGCGGGCCAGTCTGTTTTTTTAAGTGCTCCAGGGAGCTTGCCACATCTCTGCGGACGTCTGGAGAGGCAACACCAACCAACGGATACAGCATACCAACAGGGGTTGGCTTCAGACACCCCGTAATGATTCGGCATGTGGCACTTAGAGCTGTGTCCACCAGATGCGTGTGTGCTGACCGGCTCCAAACTGGGGTAGCGTATTCATCTGCCGAAAAGAAAAGGGCTAGTCTGGTTATTCGCAAAGTTTGTGGCGAAGCTCCCCACTTGGAAGATGTAAGACGGCGCAGGAGATTGTTTCGACTGCCCACTTTCTGCTTGGTATTGATGCAGTGCTGTTTGTAAGTTAAGGCTCTGTCCAAAGTAATACCGAGGTATTTTGGAGTGGAGTGTTTTTGGTTAAAATAAAAAGACAAAGTATTATCGAAGGAATTATTCTTTGTGTACGATCTTTGTATTAATACTTATAACAAACTAGTGAAGTAATTTAAGAAAAATGAATAAATATCTTGGTAATAAAACATCATAAAATTCATTATAATCAATATCGATACCTTCCTTGTAATGTGTTGTAAGTCAAAATACCATATTTTGCTTTTTAAATTAAATTTGCATCATTTTTTAATGTATTTATTATAAATTCCATGTTTGAAAGTAAAGTATTTTTAAATATAAAACCTACATCGAGTACCAGATATACTCAACGGAAACCTATAATATGCTTATGCAATCGGGCTCTTTACAGGTCTCCTGACGACATAGACTCTATGTATTACTTTTTAACTTAAATTATATCCTTTAATAATAAATTCGCCGGTTCGCCGGTTTGTTGGAAAAACATATACACGCGATTTTGACCCAAAGAAATAGTTTCATGTCCTATATGTGTAGCAATAGCAATCGCAAAATGTTAAGAACTCAATATTGTAGATAGACTTTTTGCAGCAACAAAATGGAAAGGCGTTTGTTACAATTCTGTGCCTGACTGAAACTATTTTTATTAGTTTCAGTCAAGCATTTGAGTTCAGCTTCAGCAGTTCAGGCATTTTGATAGCATTCATTTATAATCACGTACTAAGGCGTAGTGGGGAAGGCAGTGTTTCGGAAAGCAACTATTCGTGAAGTTATAGGCACATGCAACTTGTCAACTTATGTTTCAGGATGACGGGTGCAGTGGTTGTGACTCTCAGATCTATGCGATTTAAACTCTGAGTGATACTGTTACTGCTATGAACAGGCGTGTTGCTTAACAACAGACAAACGACTTGTTCGTCCCGTTACGTTTGTGATAACAATAATAATATAAGCATGTCAAAGTACAACTTTTAAAACACTCCATAACTTAGCCTAGTCACTTAATAGTTTAAATGTTCAATATTTTTATGAAATAATCTCTTCTATTTTATTTATTATGGGAGCTTAC